AAATAATGCCTTTGGAGTGTCAGTCTGAAAAAGGGCTATAAAAAAGACTGAGGCATTATTTTTATGATTTAGTTTTTGAATGAGCTCCAAAACGGTGACACGCTAAAACCACAGCCTTGTGTTGGAATTATTATTATTTCAATCTCATGTCTTTGGACTAGTGTTAAATTGATGCTAGCAGTAAATCATACGTCCTTTTGTATCTATGATCGGGGGAAGTATTCCTCGAGCACTTTGCAGGGTTTGTAAGTATGAAAATCTTTAGCTTATCTAAAATGTATGGAGGACATTTATGACTTCTGCAACCGCACAATAAAGAAAGTCTCCCTGTCAAAGCCCATTGTGCAGGTAAAGGTACAGGAAGCCTCTAATGGAACACAATACACCATCCGACCACGGGACCAGCTTCATCCTCCTCCAAAGTCTATTCCCAACTCATCATCATCATCATCAAACTGCATGAACCAAATGGCGTTCAGTGTTCATTAAAACTGTCTTCCTTCTTTGGTGTCCTGTTTCTTGGGTATTCTATGCACAGTTTTGGAGGGTTGTGATCGACTGTCCGGTAAAAGAGGAAAAGAGCAGCGGACACAGTTTGTTGCTTATGTTGAAAACCACAGTCTCATGCATCGCCGCCGCTGCATCAGACGGAACACCTTTGTAACTCATTTACCGAGAGGATTAACATTTATGAAACCACCAGAACTCTCAGAGCGACAGTTTGGATGGCTCCTGTTCAAAGCAATGGAATTCTGAAAATCAATCACAAAAAACTGGTTTCGATAAACTAAACTTGTAATGTAGCAAAACTGTTTGTTGAAAGGCTACCAAATTCTAACAGCTGGAAAATAAACATGGTGTTGCTATTGGTAACAAGCACTTTCTCTTTTCTAAGATAAGATAAGATAAGATAAACCTTTATTAGTCTCACAGTTGAGAAATTCCAGTGTCATCGTTGCACATTACAGCAGAGAAAGGAAATAAGAGCACTCAGATTGCACACATCAAAGTCTATTATTTAAGATAATAGACAATAAATTTACTATGCCGCGACCCGGCAACGGATAAAGCGGAAGAAAATGGATGGATGGATGGACAATAAATTTAAGATAAAATAAAATAAAATAAAATGAGATAAACTCTGGGCTATAATTGCACTTGGTTCGGAGTATTTACAGATGTCTATATTATACATTAGCAGCAGAGAATATGAGAATATGAATATGAGCAGAATAAACATCAGAAATAATATCAACAGGTAAAGTGACTTGAATGGGAGAATTATCAGATGGATATGAATAATACAGTAAGATATCAACAGGTAAAGTGACGGTGAAAGGCAGAATTATCAGATATGAAATAATACAGTAGTACTGATAACAGGTAAAGTGACTAGTGACAAAGTTACTAGTGAATTATCAGTGACACTTGTGCAGACTCAGCAGTTCCTGTTACACATTCTCGTTGTACAGTCTGACAGCAGCAGGAAGGAAAGACCTACGGAACCTCTCCTTCACACAGCGAGGGTGAATTAGTGGAAAAACAAGCTCAGCTCAGAACCAGGACCGGTCCAGGACCAGTCCAGGACCAGTCCAGGACCAGCACGGTTATATTCAAATGTATGGAGCAGTCAATATGATGGCTCTGGGAGTTAAAGGTAGAACGACTCCCATTTCAAAACAAAATGAAAATAAGACCAAACATGTACAAGAGCTGAGTAAATACGCTTCCAAACCGAAAAGCAGTCAAATGGACGGTTCTGGGAGTTCTATAGTGAATCAGAATCAGAATCCTTTTATTGTCATGTGAGTAACAGGAAGTCACAAACTGGGAAGTTAAATCAGAATAAAAACAAGAATGCATAAATACAGATCTACAGACATTGGGTTAAAGCCGGACACTAAACTGTCTCTCCACAAACACGAGCCATGAAACCTCTCTCTCTCAAACAGATCTGTCTCTACTTTTCACTTTTTTGCCTCTGCCTTTTGACCGCCCTCACTCAGCCAATCAGCTCTCAGCCAATCAGCTCTCAGCCAATCAGTTCTCAGCCAATCAGCTCTCAGCCAATCAGCTCTCAGCCAATCAGCTCTCAGCCAATCAGCTCTCAGCCAATCAGCTCTCAGCCAATCAGCTCTCAGCCCAAAGCAACTAATACGGACTCACAGAGTTTTCTTCTTTTACATGTGAGAAAAAGATACATGTTGTCACGTTCTGAAAAGGATGAAGGACCCAAAATGCAGGACTGCCAAAATATAAGATTTAGTGAACAAAAACCAAATCCAGGATACAGAACTAATAACTCAAACCAGGACAAAACAGGGACAAAATCACGATGGAAAAAAAAAAGAAGGAAAAGTAAAAAGTCCCAAACACATGTTTTTTCTAACCCGATGAACACAGCATGTTGGGTGTGTTTAGTTTCCCACTCTTTTTGGGGACAAACATGAGTGATTTATGAATAACAAAAATAGTGAGTTTAAGTCGAGCTAAATCCAGGTTAAAAACAGTCTGTGCCAAAACTGAAGGATTTCTATATTTACTTACTCTGTGCACTGTGATATTTATTTGTTTAATTTAATTTAATCCCATGTGTCATTTTAATGTATTACGGTTTTGAATATTTGTGTGATTTTATTTTCAATGTTTTTTAATATTTCTTGTGATTTAAAAGTTTGTTTTTACATTTTTAAATTGTTGTTTTAAATAAGGAGGACCAATAGCCTTGATGATCCAGTAGACAATCCTCCTATACAACTTTAAAGTTCATCATGATTTCTGCCTGATTGATGAAGATAATTCAAACAATATCAGATATAAATATAACATTGGAGCAGTGGGCGTTTGGCTGCAATGTTCCTTTGAGTATAAACTATAATTATAAGACAAAAGCGGATTAAAGTCAGAACCACACGACTGTAGAAAGCACAGTGTGAGTCCCTGGAACAGCATCTGAGCGCTGCATACGGCTGACACTGCTCATTTATCAGGCTTTAGGCTGCGCCCGCCTCACATCCAGCTGCTCTGCTCCCCACGTCACGTATGTACAGGGCAACAGACAGGGGGGGTTAGGGTTAGGGTGTGTGTGTGTGTGTGTGTGTGTGTGTGTGTGTGTGTTGGTGTGTGTGTGTGTGTATTGTGTGTGTATGTGTGTGTGTGTGTGTGTGTGTGTGTATGGGTAGTGTGCCTGTGTGTGTGTGTATTGTGTGTGTGTGGGTGTGTGCCTGTGTGTGTGTGTGTGTGTTGTGTGTGTGTATTGTGTGTAGTGTGTGTATGTGTGTGTGTGTGTGTGTGTGTGTGCTGTCTTCTCCCAGCTGGCCCGGGCAGTGAAGCCTGGGTGTCCTTGGGGAGGCAGCGATGGCACCGCTCATGAATGGAGGCTTTCTTCTTCTTCTTCTTCTGCCCCGGCCCCGGTCTCTCTCTTGACTGTGTCTGAGTGATACGACAAAACAATATTATCATGACCACGGACTGATGCCACTGCTGCGCATTCATCAGAGAGGAAGAGCTTCACGTGAACCATGTGGGGAGGACACCACTACAGAGTCCGTAGTTTGATGGTCTTACTTATGAACCATGTGGGGAGAACACCACTACAGAGTCCGTAGTTTGATGGTCTTACTTATAAACCATGTAGGAGGCACTTTAGTCGGTGATCGAGTCCAACCAAGAAATTCATTTTATTAAGACATCTTTGATTTGAGATTTCAGTGTTGCATCACTGGTTACAGAAGAGTTGGACTGAGGAGCAGACAGGCCAGGATAAGCAAAAAAAACCTCTAAAATAAAATAGAATATCAGCTTTAGCATAATAAAGAAACAAGTCTAAAATCTCCAACTTTAGCACAGTAAATTAGCAATATTCTAATCTGATCAAAGCAAACTAAAGTCTGAAGGAAAATGACGGAAAATCTAGTATGCAGTATAGTATGACTGCTGTCAGAGTATGTAGTATAGTATGTAGTATAGTATGTAGTATAGTATGACTGCTGTTGGAGTATGTAGTATAGTATGTAGTATAGTATGACTGCTGTCGGAGTATGTAGTATAGTATGTAGTATAGTATGATTGCTGTCGGAGTATGTAGTATAGTATGATTGCTGTCGGAGTATGTAGTATGTAGTATAGTATGTAGTATAGTATGACTGCTGTCGGAGTATGTAGTATAGTATGATTGCTGTCGGAGTATGTAGTATAGTATGTAGTATAGTATGACTGCTGTCAGAGTATGTAGTATAGTATGTAGTATAGTATGACTGCTGTCAGAGTATGTAGTATAGTATGTAGTATAGTATGATTGCTGTCGGAGTATGTAGTATAGTATGTAGTATAGTATGACTGCTGTCGGAGTATGTAGTATAGTATGTAGTATAGTATGACTGCTGTTGGAGTATGTAGTATAGTATGTAGTATAGTATGACTGCTGTCGGAGTATGTAGTATAGTATGTAGTATAGTATGACTGCTGTTGGAGTATGTAGTATAGTATGTAGTATAGTATGATTGCTGTCAGAGTATGTAGTATAGTATGACTGCTGTCGGAGTATGTATCAGAATCAGAATCATTTTTATTGCCACGTAAGTAACAGGAGGTCACAGACTTGGAAATTGCTTTGGCTCAGTGCAACAGTCAGAAAGAGATAATAAAAATAAGAATAAAAAACACTTCTAAAGAATAAATTTAAATTTAAAATAGAGTTACAGTTACTATTTACAATATCCAAGTGCACATGGTGCACACAATGTAAGGTGACAGCAGTACAGTGAAGTAAAGTGACGTATGATGGGCAGTAAAGTGACTTTATAAAGGGCGGGGGGACAGGTTAAGAAGTGTTCAAGAGTCCAACAGCAGAGGGGAAGAAACTGTTCTTGTGGCGGGAGGTTCTAGTCCTGATGGACCGCAGCCTCCTGCCTGAGGGGAGTGGTTGGAATAGTCCATGTGCAGGGTGAGAGGGGTCGGCTGTGATACGACCAGCCCGGCCTCGAGCTCGGGCGACGTACAGGTCCTGCAGCGATGGAAGGCTGCGGCCGATCACTTCCTCTGCAGAGCGCACAATGCGCTGTAGTCTCTGTTTGTCCCTGACTGTGGCTCCAGCGAACCACACGGTGACGGAGGAGGTGATGGAGGAGGTGATGGAAGAGGTGATGGAGGAGGTGATGGAGGAGGTGATGGAGGAGGTGAGGATGGACTCGATGATGGCCGTGTAGAACTGCAGCTTGGCTTTCCTGAGCTGCCGCAGGAAGTACATCCTCTGCTGGGCCTTCTTGATGAGGGAGCTGATGGTCGGCTCCCACTTGAGGTCCTGGGTGATGGTGGTGCCCAGGAAACGGAAGGCTCCACAGAGGTGATGGGGGAGTCCATCACGGAGGGTGGGGGCGGGGGGACAGTGCTCTTCCTGAAGTCCACAATCATCTCCACACTGTCTTCTGGGCGTTCAGCTCCAGGTTGTTACCACTGCACCAGGACACCAGCCGGTCCACCTCCCTCCTGTAGGCGGACTCATCGTTGTTGGAGATGAGTCTAATGAGGGTGGTGTCGTCCGCGAACTTGATCAGCTTCACGGAGTCGTGGCTGGAGGTGCATTGGTTGGTGTACAGGGAGAAGAGCAGGGGAGAAAGAACACAGCCCTGTGGGGCTCCTGTATTTATAATCCGAGAGTCCGAGACATTCTTCCCCAGACGCACTCGCTGCTTCCTGTCCGTCAGGAAGTCAGTGATCCACCTGCAGGTGGAATCGGGCACGTTGAGCTGGGAGAGCTTGTCCTGGAGCAGGGATGGCAGGATTGTGTTGAAGGCAGAGCTGAAGTCCACGAACAGGACCCTGGCGTAGGTCCCCGGGGAGTCCAGGTGCTGTAGGATATGGTGGAGGGCCAGGTTAATGGCGTCGTCTACAGATCTGTTGGCTCTGTAGGCGAACTGCAGGGGGTCCAGGAGGGGGGAGGTGAGGGACTTGAGATGGGAGAGAACCAGGCGTTCAAATGACTTCATGACGACAGACGTAAGTGCTACAGGTCTGTAGTCATTGAGTCCTGTGATCCTGGGCTTCTTCGGGACGGGGACAATGATGGAGGATTTGAAGCAGGCCAGGACATGGCAGGACTGCAGAGAGGTGTTGAAAATGTCCGTGAACACAGGAGTAAGCTCACTGGCGCAGTGTCTCAGAGTGGCCGGAGACACGTGGTCCGGGCCAGGAGCTTTGCGGGAGTGCAGCCTCAAGAAGAGTTGTTTAATCTCTTTAGAGGCTATTGTTAGGCTGGGGGCAGGGCTGATGGGTGGGTCGTTAGAGTAGTGGGGGGAGGGAGAGGTGTCAGGGGCAGCATCAAAGCGACTGAAAAATAAGTTCAGATCGTCAGCTAGCTTGTGGTCATCAGCACAGGGGGGGGCTTTGGGTTTGTAGTTGGTGATCTCCCGTAGGCCCCTCCAGACAGAAGCAGTATCGTTGTTACCAAACTGCTCCTGTAGTCGTTCTCTGTGCCGGGACTTGGCTGCTTTCAGTTCTCTCCTGAACTGATATTTAGCTGCTTTGTAGCCGCCGCGGTCCCCCTCCCTGAAAGCAGACTCCTTTGCTTTCCTGAGCTGCCGGAGTTTAGCAGTGAACCAGGGTTTGTCGTTGTTATAGATGACCCTGGTCCTTGTTGGAATGATGCTATCCTCACAGAAGTGAATGTATGACGTCACAGTGTCCGTATATTCATCCAAACTATCTGTGGCAGCTCTGAAAAGGTCCCAGTCTGTAGATTCCATGCATGCAGCTCTTCCACAGCTTCATCAGACCACACTTTGGAGCTCCTCACTGCAGGTTTCGAGAGCTTTAGTCTCTGTCTGTAAGCAGGAACCAGATGTATCATGGAGTGATCTGAGAAGCCGAGGGCTGCCTTGGGAACAGCGCGAAAAGCTCCGCGCACGGTGGTGTAACAGTGATCCAGAGTGTTCTCCTCTCTGGTCGGGCATTTGATAAACTGTCTGTATTTGGGTAATTCCTGGCTCAAGTTTCCCTTATTAAAATCCCCCAGGATAATAATCAGAGAGTCCGGGTATAAGCGTTCCATACACAGTACTTGCTCTGCGTCCGCGCATGGCGGTATGTAAACAGAGGCAAGAATGAATGAAACAAACTCACGAGGAGAGTAAAATGGTTTACAATGAATGAAAAGATATTCCAGAGCAGGAGAGCAGTGCTTGGAGATCACTGTCACATCGTTACACCAGTTTGTATTGACGTAGAAACACAGCCCACCGCCTCTGCTCTTCCCTGAGAGCGCACAATGGCGATCCGTGTGGAACAGCCCAAAGCCCTGCAGCTCCAGAGCACAGTCCGGGATCCGCTCATTTAGCCAGGTCTCAGTGAAGCAGAGGACACAGAGGACACCAGGTCTGTATGTAGTATAGTATGTAGTATAGTATGACTGCTGTCGGAGTATGTAGTATAGTATGTAGTATAGTATGACTGCTGTCAGAGTATGTAGTATAGTATGTAGTATAGTATGATTGCTGTCGGAGTATGTAGTATAGTATGTAGTATAGTATGACTGCTGTCGGAGTATGTAGTATAGTATGTAGTATAGTATGACTGCTGTTGGAGTATGTAGTATAGTATGTAGTATAGTATGACTGCTGTCGGAGTATGTAGTATAGTATGTAGTATAGTATGACTGCTGTTGGAGTATGTAGTATAGTATGTAGTATAGTATGATTGCTGTCAGAGTATGTAGTATAGTATGACTGCTGTCGGAGTATGTATCAGAATCAGAATCATTTTTATTGCCACGTAAGTAACAGGAGGTCACAGACTTGGAAATTGCTTTGGCTCAGTGCAACAGTCAGAAAGAGATAATAAAAATAAGAATAAAAAACACTTCTAAAGAATAAATTTAAATTTAAAATAGAGTTACAGTTACTATTTACAATATCCAAGTGCACATGGTGCACACAATGTAAGGTGACAGCAGTACAGTGAAGTAAAGTGACGTATGATGGGCAGTAAAGTGACTTTATAAAGGGCGGGGGGACAGGTTAAGAAGTGTTCAAGAGTCCAACAGCAGAGGGGAAGAAACTGTTCTTGTGGCGGGAGGTTCTAGTCCTGATGGACCGCAGCCTCCTGCCTGAGGGGAGTGGTTGGAATAGTCCATGTGCAGGTGAGAGGGGAGTGGTTGGAATAGTCCATGTGCAGGTGAGAGGGGAGTGGTTGGAATAGTCCATGTGCAGGGTGAGAGGGGTCGGCTGTGATACGACCAGCCCGGCCTCGAGCTCGGGCGACGTACAGGTCCTGCAGCGATGGAAGGCTGCGGCCGATCACTTCCTCTGCAGAGCGCACAATGCGCTGTAGTCTCTGTTTGTCCCTGACTGTGGCTCCAGCGAACCACACGGTGACGGAGGAGGTGATGGAGGAGGTGATGGAAGAGGTGATGGAGGAGGTGATGGAGGAGGTGATGGAGGAGGTGAGGATGGACTCGATGATGGCCGTGTAGAACTGCAGCTTGGCTTTCCTGAGCTGCCGCAGGAAGTACATCCTCTGCTGGGCCTTCTTGATGAGGGAGCTGATGGTCGGCTCCCACTTGAGGTCCTGGGTGATGGTGGTGCCCAGGAAACGGAAGGACTCCACAGAGGTGATGGGGGAGTCCATCACGGAGGGTGGGGGCGGGGGGACAGTGCTCTTCCTGAAGTCCACAATCATCTCCACACTGTCTTCTGGGCGTTCAGCTCCAGGTTGTTACCACTGCACCAGGACACCAGCCGGTCCACCTCCCTCCTGTAGGCGGACTCATCGTTGTTGGAGATGAGTCTAATGAGGGTGGTGTCGTCCGCGAACTTGATCAGCTTCACGGAGTCGTGGCTGGAGGTGCATTGGTTGGTGTACAGGGAGAAGAGCAGGGGAGAAAGAACACAGCCCTGTGGGGCTCCTGTATTTATAATCCGAGAGTCCAAGACATTCTTCCCCAGACGCACTCGCTGCTTCCTGTCCGTCAGGAAGTCAGTGATCCACCTGCAGGTGGAATCGGGCACGTTGAGCTGGGAGAGCTTGTCCTGGAGCAGGGATGGCAGGATTGTGTTGAAGGCAGAGCTGAAGTCCACGAACAGGACCCTGGCGTAGGTCCCCGGGGAGTCCAGGTGCTGTAGGATATGGTGGAGGGCCAGGTTAATGGCGTCGTCTACAGATCTGTTGGCTCTGTAGGCGAACTGCAGGGGGTCCAGGAGGGGGGAGGTGAGGGACTTGAGATGGGAGAGAACCAGGCGTTCAAATGACTTCATGACGACAGACGTAAGTGCTACAGGTCTGTAGTCATTGAGTCCTGTGATCCTGGGCTTCTTCGGGACGGGGACAATGATGGAGGATTTGAAGCAGGCCGGGACATGGCAGGACTGCAGAGAGGTGTTGAAAATGTCCGTGAACACAGGAGTAAGCTCACTGGTGCAGTGTCTCAGAGTGGCCGGAGACACGTGGTCCGGGCCAGGAGCTTTGCGGGAGTGCAGCCTCAAGAAGAGTTGTTTAATCTCTTTAGAGGCTATTGTTAGGCTGGGGGCAGGGCTGATGGGTGGGTCGTTAGAGTAGTGGGGGGAGGGAGAGGTGTCAGGGGCAGCATCAAAGCGACTGAAAAATAAGTTCAGATCGTCAGCTAGCTTGTGGTCATCAGCACAGGGGGGGGCTTTGGGTTTGTAGTTGGTGATCTCCCGTAGGCCCCTCCAGACAGAAGCAGTATCGTTGTTACCAAACTGCTCCTGTAGTCGTTCTCTGTGCCGGGACTTGGCTGCTTTCAGTTCTCTCCTGAACTGATATTTAGCTGCTTTGTAGCCGCCGCGGTCCCCCTCCCTGAAAGCAGACTCCTTTGCTTTCCTGAGCTGCCGGAGTTTAGCAGTGAACCAGGGTTTGTCGTTGTTATAGATGACCCTGGTCCTTGTTGGAATGATGCTATCCTCACAGAAGTGAATGTATGACGTCACAGTGTCCGTATATTCATCCAAACTATCTGTGGCAGCTCTGAAAAGGTCCCAGTCTGTAGATTCCATGCATGCAGCTCTTCCACAGCTTCATCAGACCACACTTTGGAGCTCCTCACTGCAGGTTTCGAGAGCTTTAGTCTCTGTCTGTAAGCAGGAACCAGATGTATCATGGAGTGATCTGAGAAGCCGAGGGCTGCCTTGGGAACAGCGCGAAAAGCTCCGCGCACGGTGGTGTAACAGTGATCCAGAGTGTTCTCCTCTCTGGTCGGGCATTTGATAAACTGTCTGTATTTGGGTAATTCCTGGCTCAAGTTTCCCTTATTAAAATCCCCCAGGATAATAATCAGAGAGTCCGGGTATAAGCGTTCCATACACAGTACTTGCTCTGCGTCCGCGCATGGCGGTATGTAAACAGAGGCAAGAATGAATGAAACAAACTCACGAGGAGAGTAAAATGGTTTACAATGAATGAAAAGATATTCCAGAGCAGGAGAGCAGTGCTTGGAGATCACTGTCACATCGTTACACCAGTTTGTATTGACGTAGAAACACAGCCCACCGCCTCTGCTCTTCCCTGAGAGCGCACAATGGCGATCCGTGTGGAACAGCCCAAAGCCCTGCAGCTCCAGAGCACAGTCCGGGATCCGCTCATTTAGCCAGGTCTCAGTGAAGCAGAGGACACAGAGGACACCAGGTCTCAGTGAAGCAGAGGACACAGAGGACACCAGGTCTCAGTGAAGCAGAGGACACAGAGGACACCAGGTCTCAGTGAAGCAGAGGACACAGAGGACACCAGGTCTCAGTGAAGCAGAGGACACAGAGGACACCAGGTCTCAGTGAAGCAGAGGACACAGAGGACACCAGGTCTCAGTGAAGCAGAGGACACAGAGGACACCAGGTCTCAGTGAAGCAGAGGACACAGGATGTGGCGAAGTCCTTGTTTCTTCTCATGAGCAGGCTGAGTTCGTCCATCTTATTGCCCAGTGAGCGTACGTTGGAGAAAAAAATGCCGGGGAGAGCCGTGCGCGCTCCTCTCCTCCTAAGACGCACGAGCAGCCTCCGCGCCTTCCCCTTTTACGGGCCCACACTTTTTTGGCTAGAACATGAACTAAATCAGCCGCAGATGCCAAGAAAACAGGCAATAGGTCCATGGGGACGGTGGGTCGGATGTTCATAAGTTCCTCACGGGTGTAGGAACAGCCAGATGCACAGTTAAAAAGTAAAAACAAAAGAAAAAGAGAGCAGCAAAGAGCCATGTCGACCGTACGAGGCGCCATCTTTGTTGGAATCTAGTAGTATAGTATGACTGCTGTCAGAGTATGTAGTATAGTATGTAGTATAGTATGACTGCTGTCAGAGTATGTAGTATAGTATGTAGTATAGTATGACTGCTGTCGGAGTATGTAGTATAGTATGTAGTATAGTATGACTGCTGTCAGAGTATGTAGTATAGTATGTAGTATAGTATGACTGCTGTCGGAGTATGTAGTATAGTATGTAGTATAGTATGTAGTATAGTATGATTGCTGTCGGAGTATGTAGTATAGTATGTAGTATAGTATGACTGCTGTCAGAGTAAGTAAGTAAGTAAGTAAGTAAGTAAGTATTTATTTATATACCGCCTTTTCACTGCAGATCTGAGTCTCAAAGCGGTTTACAATTGTTAATTTTTGTGCATTTGTCTCTCACTCCACACAGAGATGGGAGCGGGGCCAGTACAGGAGGCACATGTCAGAACTATTGGACATATTTTTAGTGGTAGGGGAAACCGGAGTACCCGGAGGAAACCTACGCAGACACGGGGAGAACATGCAAACTCCACTCAGAAAGGCCCTGGTCCGACCGGGATTCGAACCCAGGACCTTCTTGCTGAGAGGCGAGAGTGCTATCCACTCAGCCACCGTGCCGCCCGTATAGTAGAGTATGAGTAGAGTAGAGTATGTAGTATAGTATGTAGTATAGTATGACTGCTGTCAGAGTATGTAGTATAGTATGTAGTATAGTATGACTGCTGTCGGAGTATGTAGTATAATATGTAGTATAGTATGACTGCTGTTGGAGTATGTAGTATAGTATGATTGCTGTCAGAGTATGTAGTATAGTATGTAGTATAGTATGTAGTATAGTATGACTGCTGTCGGAGTATGTAGTATAGTATGTAGTATAGTATGACTGCTGTCAGAGTATGTAGTATAGTATGTAGTATAGTATGACTGCTGTCAGAGTATGTAGTATAGTATGTAGTATAGTATGACTGCTGTCGGAGTATGTAGTATAATATGTAGTATAGTATGACTGCTGATGGAGTATGTAGTATAGTATGTAGTATAGTATGTAGTATAGTATGATTGCTGTCAGAGTACGTAGTATAGTATGTAGTATAGTATGACTGCTGTCAGAGTACGTAGTATAGTATGTAGTATAGTATGACTGCTGTCGGAGTATGTAGTATAGTATGACTGCTGTCGGAGTATGTAGTATAGTATGTAGTATAGTATGACTGCTGTCGGAGTATGTAGTATAGTATGTAGTATAGTATGACTGCTGTCGGAGTATGTAGTATAGTATGTAGTATAGTATGATTGCTGTCGGAGTATGTAGTATAGTATGTAGTATAGTATGACTGCTGTCAGAGTATGTAGTATAGTATGTAGTATAGTATGACTGCTGTCAGAGTATGTAGTATAGTATGTAGTATAGTATGACTGCTGTCAGAGTATGTAGTATGGTATGTAGTATAGTGTGATGGACATTTTCTAAGTACTTTTATTTATATAGCACATTTCACAAACCAAGGTCGCACTAATTGCTGTTGTAGCAGTCATTCTCTCCACACACCGTGACGACAAAAGCGAGAGGTTTTGACTCATCACCATCTAGTCACTCTCTCAATACATTTGGTTGCACCTGGAGGAAACCTACACAGAGAGAACATGCAAACTCTGCAATGAAAGGCCTGGAGGTGGAATTACGATACATACAAGCCGGGACTGCCTTGGAATAGAGATCTTTGACACTCAATGACATTATCACGGTTAAAGTTAAAGGAGAAGTATTTAAAAATCTGGCCAAAAAGAACAATGCACTCTCCCCGACTCAGGTTGCCAGATATGCAGACGAATCCAGCTGGAACCATCATATCTGAATAGACAAGACCAGCACCTTTTTCACAAAGTTACTTTACCAGTGAGATTAGCTCAACGCGGTGAGTTCTGGCAAACCTGGATCACGGACTTTCTGATTGGTGAAACAGTGGAGGGCGGGACATCGTAGATTTAGGGTAAAACTGTAAGGATGACTTGACATGAAAATCTGACACATTTCTACTTCTACTTTAACCCTCAACAATATAATCTCTGCTTCAGTCACCCAGCAGCCCCTCTGTCCGGCCCACCCTGCTCCTCTACATGCTCCCATCACCCCCCCCACCACCCCCACCCCAACACCCACCACCCCCACCCCAACCCCCACCGCCGCCGCTATCATTTGGAAGCCCTGGATCTGGGGCGCCAAGGCCAGTGCCGCCCTCCCCTCTCCCTGTCCACCCTCGGCTCTGGTGATCAGGCCTGTGTTTGGCGGGCTGACGTCAGCGGCTGGGAGCATGTCAGAAAGGATCCATCAGGCTGACCTTCCCTTCGCCAGGCTCCAGACGGGAGACTGATGGATCCTTGGAACCCTGCGGCATTCAACAAGCACGAGCGCATACACACGGCCACATGATAATAGCTGTGATTCCCGCTTTTTATGACTCACATTATTACTTCTGAGTGACGCACACTGGACATAACGTGGATGAATGGATTTTATACTTACCTCGAAATGGGACATTGTTTTAGACACGCACTATGGGCTTATGTCTGTATCTCTTTTGTCTCAAACATTTCTAATCATTTACAATTTACTGATTCACGGAGACACCTTTTGTACCTTGCTAATGGTGTGAGAAGGCAGAAGCCAGAACATGTGTGTGTGTGTGTGTGTGTGTGTGTGTGCGTGCGCGTGCGCGTGCGGGTGCGGGTGCGTGTGCGTGTGTGTGTGTGTGTGTGTGTGTGTGTGTGTGTGTGTGTGTGTGCGTGCGCGTGCGCGTGCGGGTGCGGGTGCGTGTGCGTGTGTGTGTGTGTGTGCGTGCGCGTGCGTGTGCGTGTGCGTGTGCGCGTGTGCGTGTGCGTGTGCGTGTGTGTGCGTGTGCGTGTGCGTGTGTGTGTGTGTGTGTTTGCCAGTCCAAAGTACAAACTGATTTAAGAGCACGACTGCTTTCCTTCTGTGACCCACAAAGTAAAACTAATAAGTCATTTAAAGGCGGTGCACAGAGTTCACTGCTGCCTTGACGTCCTGTGTCACAATGTTATTTCAATGGATAACTCTGCATGTCAAATCTATCTATGTATATATGTATCTATGTATACAGTATATGTATGTATCTATCTATGTATATATGTATCTATGTATACAGTATATGTATCTATCTATCTATGTATTTCTGTCAAATTGTTTTCCCAGGATCAATATTTCATTAGGGTTAGAGCGAGTTTAGAGTAAGGGGCAAGACGTCAGGGCGATGAAAAATAAGTCAATAATTGCTCAAATTTGGCAAAATGTATCTTCATTAGATCAAGGTTTGCCAACAAGACAAGCAGAATGATCTTGTTTTAAAAAACAAACAATAAAATTCTCTCTTGGAATGAGAAAATAAAGCAACAGTTCTTCAAATAAGACTAAATGGCTTTTCCCTGTCTTGTTTTAAGACTGACAGATAAAAGATTAAGATAAAAAACACTTGATTTAAGCAATATGTTATCATTTTTTGCAGTGTATGGTTAAGGTGTCTTTATTATTCTAAAACTAGAGATTTAATTTAATTAAATCACAGAAAAAGTTACAACATTTACAAAAGATAACATTTTAAACTTTTGTAAACTTGTCAGAACCATGTGAGCCATTTGATACTTTCAAGAGTTTCAGACTCTGCTCGTAAAGTGCCTGAACGAGCAAAGTGCATGAACAAACAAAGTGCATGTGTTTGTTCTGTTATGATGAGATCATTGTTGGGAGATTTCACTCTCTTCTTTAACAGAATGAAAATACCCCAGTCTCAAAACTCTCCATCTGCCTTTTCTTGTTTATGTTTTAACTTTAAATTTTCCCACAAAAGTTATGAGAGAATTGTGTCGCGGTGGTCTCTCTGTGATTCTTCAACTCTGAGAAAATTCACATCCGTTTTAAAATACCTGCTCGTCTAAAAGTGTGAAAACAGGAAGGGTTTGGGTTCAGAGATATGTTTGAACGAGGGACATTCTCTCTTCCTCCTCCTCTCTCATGTTTAGTCTGTAACAACATTACCTCCCCAAGAATGCAACACAACTGCATAAAGTTTTAACAACACGTGGCCTGTGTAATCTGGTTTCAAAGTTTGTCCTGTATTTGTAATAGTTTTGCCTTTAATACATATTTGCATGGACTTATTCTTGACCTAAATATGAACTGAAAGATATTAAACATCTTTATCAGAGTCTAGTTTTGAAGAATATTCTTGTCGTCTGCAGTCGGACAATGCAGCTGAACGGGAAATGGGCCGATGTCACAATTTCCCAAGTCCTGGGAATGAAACAACAGAAAAAACCAATATCCGTCACAAACACTGCAAAAACTGGTGAAAAATAAAGCAGACATTGCTCAAATTTGGCAACGCTAAATAATCTTGTTTTAAAACGATACAAGAAATGTCACTTGGAATGAGATAATAAAGCAACAGTTCCTGAAATAAGACTAGATGACTCAAATCAAGCATTTATTTCCTCATATTGTATCATTTTGTGCAGTGTAGCTCACCTAATGTCCACAATAAGGTGCTTTCCCTGCCGTAGAAATGCTCTAGTCAGAGCGGCTTCACATCATCTGTCTCTCATTCCTCTTCCTTCCTTATGCAATGAACGATGAGCTGTGGTAGAGCACCTAAGGCTTTTATTTTATATTTTTTATAGAACATCTCACTTCCACTATGGTGATTACACCCCCCTTCCCCTGCCTGTAACCCCCCAGTGTGTGCAGTCCACCCCCATTACCTGGAGCCAAGGGCCAAAGGTGACGTGTGGGAAGCAGGGGAGGGGGGGGGGGGGGGGGTGCAGGGTGAATGGGTGCCATCTTAATCAGCCCCCACCCACACCTGCCGGTCCCGACGATGAGGATCTTGTCGAAAAGGGAGGAAAGTGCAGGGAAGCATTTGCGGTCGGTAAATGAGGGCGATCTGTCATTTTTGATGCTTGGCGCCTGGAGAAAAGATGGAGAGGATGCCACCAGGAGCCCCGGTGTGAGCTGGGCCTATTAGGACGCTACGGTCGCACAGTGTGAGGCCCGGTGCAGCAGCCGCTGGCCAGGTACTGACCCGACCCGGGGCCATGGCTGCCTTGATTCCCCATGTGATTTGGAAAAGCCCTCAGAGGATTAAAGAATCACAAGAATCATTTTAGGAACCACAGCCACTTGGTAATTCAGTAGAAATCTCGTTGTGTTTCTAAATTAGACAAGAATATGTCACAGTCGGGCTTATCGCAGGTTCTGAAAAACATCACCATAAATGATTATATTGAAACTTTTCCAATACAGCAACATAATCCCAGTTATGTAATTCTTTGACATCTGCATTACAAAGCATTTCCCATGAGGCTAAACGGCAAAATGTACAACAATTTAGCCATAAAAGTGACTAATTTAACCGTTTCCAACTAAAACCTCATTTTACCAAGAAAATTGGAACAAATATGAAGAATATTACGCAGACGGCGACAGGACCCCAAATGTATACAGTAGTTTCTTTCATTCTTTATAGAAGTAATAAGTCAGTGTAGTTATTATTATCTACCTCTGAGTTTTGTCATTATTCTGTGAAAAGGAGAATTAAATTTAATTATTATTATCACGGCTCCTCACAGCAGCAGCAGAACCATTGATCTGAATGTAATTTCAAAACGTTCTACCGGTCATTATTTTCTATATAAGTGACTCGCTCGAGAAATTCCAAAGGTAACTGAGTGGGCAGCACTCATTCCTCACGGTAAAGTTTTAGGCAAATTAAAAACGGACCTCTCAAAACAATAATGACCGCTGCCTTTTGGCAACGCACTCTCTGCTTGTCTTTCAGATGCGTGGATAACTCTGCAAGTAGTTCCGGCCACTTCGGAGCTAGCCACGCTCAATAAACGCAAATACCAATCAATCAACGCCATTAAATGTTAATCGGAGAGTACATTATAAAAATACATTCTTAATAAAATGGGACACATTCAAATGTGGCCAAAGCTGGGCCTAGATTTGGAGAACGGACACTAACACAATCAGTCAATCCTAACCTGGCGCCCGCTGTCACCGGAGAGGAGGCACTCGCACTGAGACAACCAGACTTTGGACTTGTGTTTGTCCTTTATTATAGAAGAGGAAGAAGTTCTATTGAGGAAGAATCTAATAATGAAAATCTAAACGGGGCCAGGAACAGACTGAGACAAGCAACGACATTGGACCAGCAACAAGGGGAGAGGAGCACAGGTACATGTAGACAGAGACACAGGTACATATAGACACAGAGACACAGGTACATAGACACAGAGACACAGGTACATATAGACACAGAGACACAGGTACATATAGACACAGAGACACAGGTACATATAGACACAGAGACAAAGGTACATATAGACACAGGTACATATAGACACAGAGACACAGGTACATATAGACACAGAGACACAGGTACATATAGACACAGAGACACAGGTACAGATAGACACAGAGACACAGGTACATATAGACACAGAGACACAGGTACAGATAGACACAGAGACAAAGGTACATATAGACACAGGTACATATAGACACAGAGACACAGGTACATATAGACACAGAGACACAGGTACATATAGACACAGAGACACAGGTACAGATAGACACAGAGACACAGGTACATATAGACACAGGTACATATAGACACAGGTACATATAGACACAGAGACACAGGTACATATAGACACAGAGACACAGGTACATATAGACACAGACACAGGTACATATAGACACACAGAGACACAGGTACATATAGACACAGGTACATATAGACACAGAGACACAGGTACATATAGACACAGACACAGGTACATATAGACACAGACACAGGTACATATAGACACACAGAGACACAGGTACATATAGACACAGGTACATATAGACACAGACACAGGTACATATAGACACAGACACAGGTACATATAGACACAGAGACACAGGTATATAGACACAGAGACACAGGTACATATAGACACAGAGACACAGGTACATATAGACACAGACACAGGTACATATAGACACAGAGACACAGGTACATATAGACACAGAGACACAGGTACATATAGACACAGAGACACAGGTACATATGGACACAGAGACACAGGTACATATAGACACAGAGACACAGGTACATATAGACACAGACACAGGTACATATAGACACAGGTACATATAGACACAGAGACACAGGTACATATAGACACAGAGAGACACAGGTACACATAGACACAGAGACAAAGGTACAGATAGACACAGACACAGGTACATATAGACACAGAGACACAGGTACACAATGAAATGATGTCAAAATCAAACCCAGTAAAATACACACACCAAGACAGTACTACAGAAGAAGTCCCTGCACTTGGACAGTACTACAGAAGAAGAAGTCCCTGCACTTGGACAGTACTACAGAAGAAGAAGTCCCTGCACTTGGACAGTACTACAGAAGAAGAAGTCCCTGCACTTGGACAGTACTACAGAAGAAGAAGTCCCTGCACTTGGACAGTACTACAGAAGAAGAAGTCCCTGTACTTGGACAGTACTACAGAAGAAGAAGTCCCTGCACTTGGACAGTACTACAGAAGAAGAAGTCCCTGCACTTGGACAGTACTACAGAAGAAGAAGTCCCTGCACTTGGACAGTACTACAGAAGAAGAAGTCCCTGCACTTGGACAGTACTACAGAAGAAGAAGTCCCTGCACTTGGACAGTACTACAGAAGAAGAAGTCCCTGCACTTGGACAGTACTACAGAAGAAGAAGTCCCTGCACTTGGACAGTACTACAGAAGAAGAAGTCCCTGCACTTGGACAGTACTAGAGAAGAAGAAGTCCCTGCACTTGGACAGTACTACAGAAGAAGAAGTCCCTGCACTTGGACAGTACTACAGAAGAAGAAGTCCCTGCACTTGGACAGTACTACAGAAGAAGAAGTCCCTGCACTTGGACAGTACTAGAGAAGAAGAAGTCCCTGCACTTGGACAGTACTACAGAAGAAGAAGTCCCTGCACGTGGACAGTACTACAGAAGAAGAAGTCCCTGCACTTGGACAGTACTACAGAAGAAGAAGTCCCTGCACGTGGACAGTACTACAGAAGAAGAAGTCCCTGCACGTGGACAGTACTACAGAAGAAGAAGTCCCTGCACGTGGACAGTACTACAGAAGAAGAAATCCCTGCACTTGGACAGTACTACAGAAGAAGAAATCCCTGCACTTGGACAGTATTACAGAAGAAGAAATCCCTGCACTTGGACAGTACTACAGAAGAAGAAGTCCCTGCACTTGGACAGTACTACAGAAGAAGAAGTCCCTGCACTTGGACAGTACTACAGAAGAAGAAGTCCCTGCACTTGGACAGTACTACAGAAGAAGAAGTCCCTGCACGTGGACAGCCTCACATCGCGTCTAACAGCCTTTGTACTTGTAATTGTCATGTATCATATGAAGGAGTCACATAGACACAGACGCCGCCTTGCACACGCTACACAGGGATTGTGTCCTTGATCACTTCTGCAAATTGTTACGAGGCGCATCCGGCTGGTTAGAGCTAAACCTTTCACTTGGCTTCATCTGCGGCTGACATATAATAAAAAGAAAGGTCACTCCATCTGCAGCGCACAGTAAAAATCCATGGCAGGGGTTAGCTTCGAGCGGAGCGCCAACCTTCAAAAACTCATATTCCAATACGTTAGCTATCCCCAGACCTTTATAGTGGATAAATCCAGTGTGGCATTTATAAAGCTGGCTAAAACCACTTCACATCTCGTCCGCTCGCCTCTAACTACTCGTCATTCAGATGTGTTTCAAGCGTGCGCGTGACGGACGGGATTATTGCAACGGATAGTCCAGAAAATGTCCAGCAGAGATGGAATCGCACTTGAATGCGTTGGTTTGAGCTGAGAGAGGGATGACAAGTGCACGTGGCTGTCGGGTTTAAAGTATGAGACAAAAGAATCCGTTGGAATTATGGCCACGATATGAAGCTGTAATGACATGTGTCTCACGGCCGATGGAAAAGCCCATGTTGTATCGCTCCTCTATGCTTCATTATGGAGCCTTTAGAGTTCAAATGGTCATTCTTCAAAAACAAAACAAGGCAACAAATATAATGCAAAAGAAAAGATTACATAATGATAATAATAATGATAATAATGATAATAATAATAATGATAATAATAATAATAATGATAATAATAATAATGATAATAATAATAATAATGATAATAATAATAATAATGATAATAATAAAAATTATAATAATAATAATAATAATAATAATAATAATAAAGAATCATATTAACTGCAAATATGTGATAAATATGTAATAAAAATACTATATTATATAACAACATAATATTTGAATAAAAAATTTAATAAAAAATAAAAACAATAGAATACATTTTTTGAAAAAAATAAAATAAAAGAAGGAAAAAAGTTTTATTAAATAAAGATAATAAAACTTAGATAAAAATATTTTAAAAAGAAAAAAAGTATAGGTACACACACCCACACACGCACGCGCACACACACGCACACACAAACACACACACACTATAAGACAATATAAGATAAGAGATTCTTTTTTTCCCCTTTTCCTCCATCACAAGCTCTGTCGACGTTGTTGTAGACTTGGGGTAAGTCAAAGCACACGGGGGGAAATATTTTCAAGGAATCCATCATAGTTTGTGTTCTGCGGTATCATACAGAGCTTCCTTCACACAGCACTCACCCCTCTGCACCCCCTGCACCCCTCTGCACCCCTCTGCACCCCCCTGCACTCCCCTGCACTCCCTGCACCCCCTCTGCACCCCCCTGCACTCCCCTGCACTCCCCTGCACCCCCCTGCACCCCCCCTGCACCCCCCTGCACTCCCTCTGCACCCCCTGCACCCCCCTGCACCCCCTGCACCCCCCTGCACTCCCTGCACCCCCTGCACCCCTCTGCACCCCTCTGCACCCCCCTGCACTCCCCTGCACTCCCCTGCACTCCCCTGCACCCCCCTGCACCCCCTCTGCACCCCCCTGCACCCCCTCTGCACCCCCCTGCACCCCCCTGCACCCCCCCTGCACCCCCCTGCACCCCCCCTGCACCCCCCTGCACCCCCCTGCACCCCCCCGCACCCCCCCGCACCCCCCTGCACCCCCCTGCACCCCCCTGCACTCCCCTGCACCCCCCCGCACCCCCCCGCACCCCCCCCCGCACCCCCCCCGCACTCCCCCCCGCACCCCCCTGCACTCCCCCTGCACCCCCCTGCACCCCCCCGCACCCCCCTGCACCCCCTGCACCCCCCCTGCACCCCCCTGCACCCCCTGCACCCCTCTGCACCCCCCTGCACCCCCCTGCACTCCCTGCACCCCCCTGCACCCCCCTGCACCCCCCTGCACCCCCCTGCACTCCCTGCACCCCCCTGCACCCCCTGCACCCCCCTGCACCCCCCTGCACCCCCTGCACCCCCCTGCACTCCCTGCACCCCCTGCACCCCCCTGCACCCCCTCTGCACTCCCTGCACTCCCTGCACTCCCTGCACCCCCCTGCACCCCCTGCACCCCCCTGCACCCCCTGCACTCCCTGCACCCCCCTGCACCCCCCTGCACTCCCTGCACCCCCTGCACCCCCTGCACCCCCCTGCACCCCCTCTGCACTCCCTGCACTCCCTGCACTCCCTGCACCCCCCTGCACCCCCTGCACCCCCCTGCACCCCCTGCACCCCCCTGCACTCCCTGCACCCCCCTGCACCCCCCCTGCACTCCCTGCACCCCCTGCACCCCCTGCACCCCCCTGCACCCCCTGCACCCCCCTGCACCCCCTGCACCCCCCTGCACCCCCCTGCACTCCCTGCACCCCCTGCACCCCCCTGCACTCCCTGCACCCCCTGCACCCCCTGCACCCCCCTGCACCCCCCTGCACTCCCTGCACCCCCTGCACCCCCCTGCACCCCCTGCACCCCCCTGCACTCCCTGCACCCCCCTGCACCCCCCTGCACCCCCTGCACCCCCCTGCACTCCCTGCACCCCCCTGCACTCCCTGCACCCCCTGCACCCCCTGCACCCCCTGCACCCCCCTGCACTCCCTGCACCCCCCTGCACCCCCCTGCACTCCCTGCACCCCCCTGCACTCCCTGCACCCCCCTGCACTCCCTGCACCCCCCTGCACTCCCTGCACCCCCCTGCACCCCCCTGCACTCCCTGCACCCCCCTGCACTCCCTGCACCCCCCTGCACTCCCTGCACCCCCCTGCACCCCCTGCACCCCCCTGCACTCCCTGCACCCCCCTGCACTCCCTGCACCCCCCTGCACCCCCTGCACCCCCCTGCACCCCCCTGCACTCCCTGCACCCCCCTGCACCCCCCTGCACTCCCTGCACCCCCCTGCACCCCCCTGCACTCCCTGCACTCCCTGCACCCCCCTGCACCCCCTGCACCCCCCTGCACCCCCTGCACCCCCCTGCACCCCCCTGCACCCCCCTGCACCCCCCTGCACCCCCCTGCACCCCCCTGCACCCCTCTGCACCCCCCTGGCCTCCATCACTGTTCCTTGTTTGGCTCCAGTTTACCACCAGTCGACAAAATCCCATCTCTGCCTAATCCAAGTCTGCGCTGAGTGACATGGATCCTGGCTGCCCAGCGGCTCTGATGCTTCCTTTTGGTGCCGAGGAAAGAACAGTGTTTTCAGCTAAAAAATAAATAAAAAAGAGAAATTGGTAAAAGCAGCTGAAGTAAATGGCATGTTTGCTTAACACTCCAACTCCCAGAGCAGTCAATTTGACGGATTTTTCATTTGGCGTAGGCAAATGTTTAGTCTTTCTAACTTTGTGACATTCTCTGTATCTATTTGTAGTTTATTCATAAGTCACTTGTTTTAACAAAATTATCTTTCAAGTCTCAATCTATCAAACAGTTTTAGCATGTATCAAAGGTACAATACACAGGTACATATAGACACAGAGACACAGGTACATATAGACACAGAGACACAGGTACATATAGACACAGAGACACAGGTATATAGACACAGAGACACAGGTATATAGACACAGAGATACACAGGTACATATAGACACAGAGAGACACAGGTACATATAGACACAGAGACACAGGTACATATAGACACAGAGAGACACAGGTACATATAGACACAGAGACACAGGTACATATAGACACAGAGAGAAACGGGTATAAAGACAACAATTATAATGCAAAGGAAAATCTTACATAATAATAATAATAATAACACATACAAATAAATACTCCAAAGTTGCCTGATTTGAGTTCTTGTAGATTCCTAATTATGGAGTACTAGTGTTAAAAGTAGACTATGTAGGCTATAAAAAAGTTCCTCATGTGAAGACGTCTATTGAATAAGTTTCCAACCAGGATTGACTGAAGATATTTGAGATAGAGATTTGCAGAATTAATTTATCTGTCTCTGCACACAATCCATTCCCCACTTCTGACTGCTGGACATTTATCCATTTGCTTGCTCAATTTTGCCTGATCTGCATATCCTGTCAAGCTCAATATCTCTGTGGTCGCAATACAAAAATTGGCTTGAATATTTTTGACATTGTGTGCTAAACTGAAGAACGTAATTGCTCTAAAATGCTCCAATAACTTCAGTAATACGTCTATTATCTCATCCGCCATCATCCCACACACACGATCCCTGCTTGTTCATATTTTTTGCTCCTGTATTGGCACATTCTCCGGAGTCCATTGGGGAAAAGTCAAAAGTGAAATCATTCGGTCTCCTTCATGCACCATCCCCCCCATCATAATATAAAAAAACCTCAAAATAAAGTACATTTAGAAACAGTAAAAGTTATGACCAACAAGCCACATAAACACTCCCAAACTGAAATCTGTCAAATTGACTGCTCAGAGACTCATATTGTTATTATTAATACATATTATTTTATTCTTATTCTAATTTTTATACAGCAGTACTTCCCTCATCCCTGACAGGTGGCTGCATTCCCTTTTCCTTTTCCTCCTGTAGGTGAGGGGGTTAACACATGAACACATACTGTCTGTAGCCGAGTGGGTTACAGGTACATATAGACACACAGAGACACAGGTACATATAGACACAGAGACACAGGTACATATAGACACAGAGACACAGGTACATAGACAATAGACACAGAGACACAGGTACATATAGACACAGAGACACAGGTACATATAGACACAGAGACACAGGTACATATAGACACAGAGACACAGGTACATATAGACACAGAGACACAGGTACATATAGACACAGAGACACAGGTACATATAGACACAGAGACACAGGTACATATAGACACAGAGACACAGGTACATATAGACACACAGAGACACAGGTACATATAGACACAGAGACACAGGTACATATAGACACAGAGACACAGGTACATATAGACACAGAGACACAGGTACATATAGACACAGAGACACAGGTACATATAGACACAGAGACACAGGTACATATAGACACAGAGACACAGGTACATATAGACACACAGAGACACAGGTACATATAGACACAGAGACACAGGTACATATAGACACAGAGACACAGGTACATATAGACACAGAGACACAGGTACATATAGACACAGAGACACAGGTACATATAGACACACAGAGACACAGGTACATATAGACACAGAGACACAGGTACATATAGACACAGAGACACAGGTACATATAGACACAGAGACACAGGTACATATAGACACAGAGACACAGGTACATATAGACACAGAGACACAGGTACATATAGACACAGAGACACAGGTACATATAGACACAGAGACACAGGTACATATAGACACAGAGACACAGGTACATATAGACACAGAGACACAGGTACATATAGACACAGAGACACAGGTACAGAGAGACACAGGTACATATAGACACAGAGACACAGGTACATACAGACACAGAGAGACACAGGTACATACAGACACAGAGAGACACAGGTACATATAGACACAGAGACACAGGTACAGAGAGACACAGGTACATATAGACACAGAGACACAGGTACAGAGAGACACAGGTACATATAGACACAGAGACACAGGTACATACAGACACAGAGAGACACAGGTACATACAGACACAGAGAGACACAGGTACATACAGACACACAGAGACACAGGTACATATAGACACAGAGACACAGGTACAGAGAGACACAGGTACATATAGACACAGAGACACAGGTACATATAGACACAGAGACACAGGTACATATAGACACAGAGACACAGGTACATATAGACACAGAGACACAGGTACATATAGACACAGAGACACAGGTACATATAGACACAGAGACACAGGTACAGAGAGACACAGGTACATATAGACACAGAGACACAGGTACATATAGACACAGAGACACAGGTACATACAGACACAGAGAGACACAGGTACATACAGACACAGAGAGACACAGGTACATATAGACACAGAGACACAGGTACATATAGACACAGAGAGACACAGGTACATATAGACACAGAGAGACACAGGTACATATAGACACAGAGAGACACAGGTACATACAGACACAGAGACACAGGTACATATAGACACAGAGACACAGGTACATATAGACACAGAGACACAGGTACATATAGACACAGAGACACAGGTACATATAGACACAGAGACACAGGTACATATAGACACAGAGACACAGGTACAGAGAGACACAGGTACATATAGACACAGAGAGACACAGGTACATACAGACACAGAGAGACACAGGTACATATAGACACAGAGAGACACAGGTACATACAGACACAGAGAGACACAGGTACATATAGACACAGAGAGACACAGGTACATATAGACACAGAGAGACACAGGTACATATAGACACAGAGACACAGGTACATATAGGGAATGAAGGAACGTCACATGCAGCCACCTGTATAAAAGTTAGAATAATAAAATAATATGTATTAATAATAAGGGTAAGTAAGTCATATTTATTTATATATCGTCTTTCACAGACCACAGTCACACACATTATTACTCCACACAGAGATGGGAGCAAGGTTGCCTGCCAGAACTATTGTACATGTTTTCAGTGGTAGGGGAAACCGGAGCACCCAGAGGAAACCTACGCAGACACGGGGAGAACATGCAAACTCCACTCAGAAAGGCCCTGTTCCGACTGGGATTCGAACCCAGAACCTTCTTGCTGAGAAGCGAGAGTGCTTTCTGCTTAGCCACCGTGCTGCTCGAAAGTAGTACATTAAAAAGAGTAAAGATATAATCCTTCAGCTAAACAAAAGTGTTTTCAGCCTGGATTATATTTGTCAGAGAAGAAACCTCTCTCACATTTTCAGGAAGATTGTTCCAGATTTTAGCAGCATAAATCTGAAATCCCCAGGTTTAGTTGACTGACTCTGGGCACCAGCAGGAGTCACTCAATTATTATTATTCCATTGTTAAAGGTTTGACTATGAGTTATCCCGGCTTTTACTTCAGTCTAACTTTCTGTGTTAAGATACAAATTCTTAACACTCCAAACAATGCAATAACAAACTGTATTCATCAACACATTTCTCAGATTGACTTTTCCTCGCCCCGCCTCTCACCAATGCACACAATAGACCTTTTCAAAACAAAGCATGCATGACTAAGTGTATGAAGACAGACCAGTCGGATTGACCTGATGCAAAAAGGTCACGTTTATGAAGGGGGGGGGGGGGGAACTGTCGCAGTCAGGACCTTAATGACAGACGGACCAGCTTCTAAGGCGGCTGACAAACTTACCAGAGCAGCCAAAGAAAGACATTCTTGAATCACGTGATGAATCAGAGTTCACAGACAGCCTTAACCTTCCTTAACCAGGTGTTTCCCCGTCTTACCTTCCACTGCCCCCGGGGGAAGAAGCTCGGGCTCGGAGCGCTCTCACAACAAAGGCATTCTGAGCTCACTCTAAACAATTCACTGAGATTTCAGAGATTCTTCTAATTCAGACTTTACTGACTACAGAAGACGCTGAAACATAGATCACAGTGATGAAAGTATTGGTTCTATACTTTAATGTATCGTGTGTTCATTCAGAGATCCTTTATCCGTCCCACAAGGAGGAAAGTTCAGTGTTGCATCACTAGTTACAGAACAGTAGGAATGAAGAGCACACAGAACAAGATCAATGAACTCCATGGATCTCTAACCTATAGCTCACCACTCTCTTCAAAGTAGCTCCCAAAAGGATAATCTTATGAGCAAATGTAAAAATGATTGAGATTCTTTGATGAGTAAAACACTACGCAACAAAAAAAGCCACAAAAAATAATTTGGGCTAAATTGATTAGATTTGGATGGTCTTAAAACAAGAAAATGTCTGTGCTGGAAAAACACTAAAGCTGGTTTCTCTATGGTTTTAAAACATACAACTTAATCCACTGTAGCACAACATTTTGTCGACTGTCTAAAGGAGTAGCTCTCTGCCCTAAAAAGTAGCTCTCCAAGAAAAAAGGTTGGAGGCCCTTTTTCTGCTCTATATTAAGCAAAATAACAGAACATAAAATCTCCAGCTTTAGAATAATGAAGAAGCAAAATGGTTTATGTTTATGCAAGTTTTCTGGTCTCGAGTACCTCTAAAAGGCTGTCTTATGCTTCAGTACCACCCGATTCTAATGTACCTGGTGAGTAAACCTTTGTCATTCAGCCAACTTCAGCTCTGTCAAAGATGAACCAATATATACATTTTACACCTAATCCCTGGGCATTTTTGGTGAACCGAAGTGGCCCTCTTACAAAAAAGTTTGGACACCCCTGTCTTAGGTAAGTGAATATAAGTAATATAGTATTGTCTACATATCGTCTACAGCTTTAAAATTTTTCAAAATATAGTACAAAATCCTAGTGTCCATTACTACTGCATTTTCAGATGGGACTAAGCCTTCAATCATTTTTCATGGTCAAATTTTGGTCAAGTTTCAGACCACAAATACTAAATCCAGCCACAAGAGGTCAGTAATGTTACAAATGATGTGTACATTAGTCTCTATAACATTATAGGATGGCTTTAAGACTCTAAACTGAATCTTCTTGCTTCAAATGAAAGAATCTTTGAACTTTAAAACTTAAAAAAAGTGTATTTTCACTTCCATTCCTTTCTCTGTGCTATGGCTGCATAAGACACATCAGTCCTAAACCCAACCCCTTTTTTAAGACTTCACCGACAGCCAACCAGCTCTCGTCTCTCCGACACTTCTGTGATTGGCCGAGCGGTGGGGCAGGCGGACCTTAGGGGGGCGCAGTGGCGGGAAAAGGGTGGAAAGGGTGGGGGGCCGTGTGGGAAAGAGGTTTCTCAGTCTGCGGTGCACTTTACACGACCCTTTGCCACAGGAAATGTGCAGAACAAAAGCGAGCTGTCATCGGTGTCCTGAGCAGCGTGCACATCTCAGCTGACTGCCAGCGCTTTAATTAACAGTCACAAATAACCATAACATATGTAATGGACGTTTTTCTGAATTGCCTTGACTTAAGCAGGACTGGAAGTGGCCTTGTCGCTGTTTGTGTCATAACATTGCATTATATTGTCTAGAATAGTGTTTTTGTGACATCAACATTGTTTTTGAATATACACACATTCAGCCTGGAGTATAAGAAGTCTAAATCTGTAAGAGACAAAGAATAATAATGCATATAGCAGCAATTATGGACATTGGTCATCTCCCCTTTATGGACCAATGGCTATTAGTGACATGTTAGTCCCATAAGAACCAGCCCGGACTCTGAGGAGCACAGGGACTGGCCTCCTGCTGGGACTCTGAGGAGCACAGGGACTGGCCTCCTGCTGGGACTCTGAGGAGCACAGGGACTGGCCTCCTGCTGGGACTCTGAGGAGCACAGGGACTGGCCTCCTGCTGGGACTCTGAGGAGCACAGGGACTGGACTCCTGCTGGGACTCTGAGGAGCACAGGGACTGGACTCCTGCTGGGACTCTGAGGAGCACAGGGACTGGACTCCTGATGGGACTCTGAGGAGCACAGGGACTGGACTCCTGCTGGGACTCTGAGGAGCACAGGGACTGGACTCCTGCTGGGACTCTGAGGAGCACAGGGACTGGACTCCTGCTGGGACTCTGAGGAGCACAGGGACTGGACTCCTGCTGGGACTCTGAGGAGCACAGGGACTGGCCTCCTGATGGGACTCTGAGGAGCACAGGGACTGGACTCCTGCTGGGACTCTGAGGAGCACAGGGACTGGACTCCTGCTGGGACTCTGAGGAGCACAGGGACTGGACTCCTGCTGGGACTCTGAGGAGCACAGGGACTGGACTCCTGCTGGGACTCTGAGGAGCACAGGGACTGGACTCCTGCTGGGACTCTGAGGAGCACAGGGACTGGACTCCTGTTAGTGCCCAGAGTCAGAACTAAACATGGGGAGGCTGCTTTTCAGATTCATGCTGCTAAAATCTGGAACAGTCTTCCTGAAGATGTGAGACAGGCCTCCTCTCTGACAATGTTTAAAACCAGGTTAAAGACAGTTCTGTTCAGCTGTGCTACAACTGAGGGATTTTATGTTTTTATCTTTCTTTTTAATGTTCTGTGATTATTTATGATTTTAATGCTTTCTTATTTTGTTCAGCACTTTTGAGTTGCCTTGTGTATGAATTGTGCTATATAAATAAACTTCCCTTGCCTTGCCTAAACTATGTGTTTTTGATCATTGTAATTGTATTTTGTTCGATCCTCTGATCTGTGTTGGTGAATTCAATGGTTTTTTGAAGTCCTCTTTTCATAAAACCCACAAAAGCGCCACAGCTTGGAAGTCACAGCTGCCCTGGAGCAGACGAGGCTTCTGCTTTGAGTCCTCTTCAATCACGCACACACCAGACTGAAGTGTCCCAGAGGTCTCCCGTCACACTACTAACCAGTACCTGCCCTGCTTAGCTTCTGAGATATGTTTTTATATGCAGGTGGCACAAACAAGTGATTTAGAAATAAGCTTGTTTTAGACTTTAATAATGGTGAGTGTAGCTTATTATTGTTATTGTAATGGTGTCCTGCTGTGAGTCACAACTTGGAGCCATAGGATCCATGTTTTTGACACGGTACGGATTAAAAAGAGAAAGATCATACTTCCATAAATATCTGATCCAATAATTTGCTCCTTATTATGCTAAAGTCAGGGTTTTTTCATTTAGTTCTTGCTTATTCATCAAGCTAAAGTTGGAGATTATAAGACTTCTCTCCCTACTATGCTCAAGATATAGATTTTATACTGCTTCTTTATATGCTAGAGTTAGATATGTTATTTTAGTGTAGTGTTATTATTTGTGTATCTTGTGTTGTGTGCTTCTCATTCCTTAACTTGTGATGCAACACTGGAATCTCCCCACTGTAGGACAAATAAAGAGTGTCTTCATCTTAATCGTAATCTTAATTTCAAAAACAAACTCTGCTGGCCTTGTAGTTTCTTTTCATTTGCCTTAATGTCGGAAAACCCCCGAAGGTCCATGTTTTGGATAAACTCTCAAGCTAATGGCTAGCTTTTAACTGGTGATATATTCATTCCTTCAAACACAAGCTTACCTCCAAACCTCCATAGCCTCCAGCTCATAAATAACGTGACATCACAGTCAGACCCACAGCTGCCTCCCTGAAGCCCTCTCTATCTCTCAGTCTGAACCCTCTCACTCCACCGCCCGAGCCCCAGGGGCCACTGCACAGCTGGGCATGAGGCCTTTACACTTCCATGCCTGCCTGCCTCTGCTCCCCCCAACCCCCCAAAGCCAACAAGCCCTCCGTGTACTTTCTGCAACAGCTCATAAGGCGGAACATTAGCGGAGGATGAAACACGGGCTGGAAATGAAAAAGTACTGCTCATATGTTACTGGACTTTTCCCATTAAATACAGAAATATATAACTATAAAGTATATATAATATATAACTCCCACTCTTTAATGACTTCACTAATGCTGACGAGGTTATCCAAATGCTTCCCCTCCTTTTGAAAGTATGCAGTTTGATTAGTATATTTAGTTTCTTTTTACCTACAGCAGAATGCGTATAAATGGGTCAATGATTGTCCTGAACGCCCTGAGGAAAGAAAGATCACACCAAACGTACGTCCTGTACGCAGCAAAAATGATCAAATGTGATGTAAAAATTGCTTGAATATAGTGTTTTTTTAGTATATTCTGACAAGATTTGCGAATGGAACAAAGCCATTTAGTCTTTATTATTATTATTTTCTTATTCCAGGGGAGACATTTACTTTTGCTTTGTCTCATTTGCAAATATTGTGTTAAGTCAGAATGTGTTTGAATTGAGATAAATGTAGCCAGATTTGAGTAATCTTTGACTTATTTTACATCACTTTTTGCAGTGTAGTAACTTCTGCATAGTGTATTTCAAAACTGGTATAGTACATTTATCTTCTCCCTGTGTCTGCATAGGTTTCCTCCAGGTGCTCCGGCTTCCCCTAACCACTAAAACATGTACTATAGCTCCCCTCTCTTTGGGGCCAGGACTTCTCTGAAAATGAGATTCTGAAATGTCAGTGGGACTTCCCTGGAAAGATACATAATTTTATATTTAAAGCTGCTGTATGTAACTTTCAAAGCACGATAATGAAACTAAGTCATACACAACATATCAATCTAACTGTTTCTACCTCTAGCTTTCATATGCACTGGAATCAGCCAATCAGCACACAGCCAATACACACACGCACACACACACATCTACAAACATACATTCACACACACACCTACACCTACACTCAAACACACTCACACTCACACACACACACACCTACACCTACACGCACACACACACATCTACAAACATACATTCACACACACACCTACACCTACACTCACACACACACACACACACACACACACACACACACCTACACACACACACACACACACACACACACACATACACACACACACACACACCTACACCTACACTCACACACACACACACACATACACACACAACAGTGGCAGTAGATTTTTCATTGTTGTCGTACACATACAGTAGTTCAAACTTTAGGGAAGACGTCGACTGGATCCACGATCATGACAAACGTGATCCACAAAACTCCTTTCTCTCTGTTCTCTCCACATTTCAACACATTAAGATTATTTTAAGCCCGGCGTATTTTAAGACAGCTGTAATTGCGATTCAAAGTCAAGTTCTTATTTGGAGGCAGCCGTAGAGGACTTTAATCGCTGAAGGCTCTGTGGGGTTGTCTCTGTGCAGAGTCAGCATGGAGCTTCTCTGGAGCCAAGAGAAATCCAAACGACACCGCTCTATTCCAGAACCAAACTCTCTTTTTTTCAGCCGATTATTTTGTTTTGGTGATCTCCTCTTGTTGTGCATTTTTCAGAGCTGGCTGCATTTTTTTTTATGTGAGATATGATAAGAGAGCCTTGTTTCGTCCCACAGTGGGGAAAGTTCAGGGTTGCAGCGCTAATATAGGACAGTAGAGAGAGCACACATAATATTAGGAGATACAGTAAGTATCTGTGAATATCTGTCCCCCTAGGGGTACGCACAGGTACTACTTGAGACAGTTTATAAAAAACCTAATACAGTCAGTATTTGTTAAAGTTTATTTCTCCTTTTTTGAAAACTGAACTTAAAAAATAACACTTTTCCATCCAGCCCCTTCCAACTGGTCCTGACGCTGAATCTCACCTCTCTCCTCTTTACTAACTGCGCTGCTGTGACGAGCTGAGCCGAGCCGAGCCGGGGAGAATCAGAAACCTACTTTTGTTTTGTGAAGTTTTAATAAGATCCACTTTATATTGCTGTTTCTTTGTGTTTGCACACCGCGTGGCAGCACACTTCGTCTCATGCATGTATTTGTTGAATTATGAGCCTGCGTCGCGGTGTTTCAGGCTCAGAGATAGAACCGAGCGAGACACAGATGCAGCGCTCAGATTATGTCTCCCTGTTTGCTGACATGCCTTTTTCTGCTTATCAACGCGCTGCACAAACTGAAAATACTGGCCCGGGGAAACAATGAGAATGTAAATTATATTCACGTTAACTGCGGACAAAGTCTTATAAGTTAGTCATTATATTTAAGCTAAAGTTTGGGCACTAATTCAAAAAAACTTCTCAAATTGAATGGCTGTTCGTTTGAGACATTTTTGACTTACTTTTCATCACTTTTTTGCAGTGAACCAATGATTGGACACGATACTACAGAAAGAGGATAAATACAGCAACGCTTTTGAAATGTCCTCGTGTGAAATATATAACAATAAAGGTTTTACACCACTTCTTCTGAAACAGGTCAAAAATATTTCTAAAATCTGCTCAGGAAATGTCTGATTTTACCCAGATTATGTACATTGTTATAGTCTATGTTGTAACTCGGCTCAACTTTGGAGTAAGGAAGTGGCAAAATAACCAAGATGTATGAATGGAAACTAAAATCATAACTTATTTGGATGACAAAACAGGTAAAAGGAGTAACTCATCTCTTTTTGAAACTAATTTGAGAATTGTGTATAATTATAATTTATATTTGCAGCTGATTAGAATAGGATTGACTCGTCTCCCAGTGCAAACATTTATTTATTTAGCACAAAGCGAGTCCCAGATGCTGCGCACATCAAGAGAAGACTTTCCCACCGGGGTCTGCGACATGTGTCCTTCCTGTCCATGGAAATCTCTGAGAAATAACTCTAACTTTCCGCCATAAATGTAGTGAGAAGTTGAAAAAATATACATGCTATCTCTAAATACATTTGTCCCAGGTCAAGACAGCGGCGGGGACTCGCACACGGGGCTGGAGTGTTTTCTGGGGACGTGTGTGTAAATAGTTAAGGCCACGCTCTGTTTCATCATTTCAGTAAATGCCAAGCACTAAAGCAGTACAGTATATGTATATGTATATATATATATATTTATATGTATATCAGCCAACTGCAAACGGGCCATGTCCATATCTGTAACAGAGGATCCACGTCGGCACACACACACACACACACACATACACACACACACACAACCGTACACACACACGCACACACACACATACACACACACACACACACCCGTACACACACACACACCCGTACACACACACACAACCGTACACACACACACACACACACACACACAACCGTACACACACACACACGCGGCACGGTGGCTGAGTGGATAGCACTCTCGCCTCTCAGCAAGAAGGTCCTGGGTTCGAATCCCGGTCGGACCAGGGCCTTTCTGAGTGGAGTTTGCATGTTCTCCCCGTGTCTGCGTAGGTTTCCTCCGGGTGCTCCGGTTTCCCCTACCACTAAAAATATGTCCAATAGTTCTAGCATGTGCCTCCTGTACTGACCCCGCTCCCATCTCTGTGTGGAGTGAGAGACAAATGCCCAAAATGAACAATTGTAAACCGCTTTGAGACTCAGATCTGCAGTGAAAAGGTGGTATATAAATAAAAACTTACTTACTTACTAACTTACTTACACACCCGTACACACACACACACACACACACTCACACCCGTACACACACACACACACACTCACACCCGTACACACACACGCACACACACACTCCCACCTGTACACACACCTGTACACGCACACACACACTCCCACCCGTACACACACCTGTACACACACCCGCACACACACACACACATGCATACCCGTACACACACCTGTACACACACCCGCACACACACACACACACACACGTGTGTGAACACTTCTGATTGGTTTGCCACCTGCTTGACAACATCAGTTACTTTTGTACATAAATGTTACATGGCTCATGATGAGGCACTAACTTAATCTCACTCAGATTTAAAACTATATAAACACGACCCACAGTGAAGCTTATTCACCATTTGTGTGGAGAAAGTTGTAGATAATGTCTAATTAAGTTAAGTTATACATTCTAATGTTCCTGTGAGGTCAGGGACCATCTCCAGATGTTGATGCTCGACTTGTCCATGTTTTAGTCGTATCGAAACCCAGATAACCTGGAAACCTAACGCAGACAGTGAGAGAGCTAACCACTCAGCCACCATGAGAACCTAACGCAGACAGTGAGAGAGCTAACCACTCAGCCACCATGAGAACCTAACGCAGACAGTGAGAGAGCTAACCACTCAGCCACCATGAGAACCTAACGCAGACAGTGAGAGAGCTAACCACTCAGCCACCATGAGAACCTAACGCAGACAGTGAGAGAGCTAACCACTCAGCCACCATGAGAACCTAACGCAGACAGTGAGAGAGCTAACCACTCAGCCACCATGAGAACCTAACGCAGACAGTGAGAGAGCTAACCACTCAGCCACCATGAGAACCTAACGCAGACAGTGAGAGAGCTAACCACTCAGCCACCATGAGAACCTAACGCAGACAGTGAGAGAGCTAACCACTCAGCCACCATGAGAACCTAACGCAGACAGTGAGAGAGCTAACCACTCAGCCACCATGAGAACCTAACGCAGACAGTGAGAGAGCTAACCACTCAGCCACCATGAGAACCTAACGCAGACAGTGAGAGAGCTAACCACTCAGCCACCATGAGAACCTAACGCAGACAGTGAGAGAGCTAACCACTCAGCCACCATGAGAACCTAACGCAGACAGTGAGAGAGCTAACCACTCAGCCACCATGAGAACCTAACGCAGACAGTGAGAGAGCTAACCACTCAGCCACCATGAGAACCTAACGCAGACAGTGAGAGAGCTAACCACTCAGCCACCATGAGAACCTAACGCAGACAGTGAGAGAGCTAACCACTCAGCCACCATGAGAACCTAACGCAGACAGTGAGAGAGCTAACCACTCAGCCACCATGAGAACCTAACGCAGACAGTGAGAGAGCTAACCACTCAGCCACCATGAGAACCTAACGCAGACAGTGAGAGAGCTAACCACTCAGCCACCATGAGAACCTAACGCAGACAGTGAGAGAGCTAACCACTCAGCCACCATGAGAACCTAACGCAGACAGTGAGAGAGCTAACCACTCAGCCACCATGAGAACCTAACGCAGACAGTGAGAGAGCTAACCACTCAGCCACCATGAGAACCTAACGCAGACAGTGAGAGAGCTAACCACTCAGCCACCATGAGAACCTAACGCAGACAGTGAGAGAGCTAACCACTCAGCCACCATGAGAACCTAACGCAGACAGTGAGAGAGCTAACCACTCAGCCACCATGAGAACCTAACGCAGACAGTGAGAGAGCTAACCACTCAGCCACCATGAGAACCTAACGCAGACAGTGAGAGAGCTAACCACTCAGCCACCATGAGAACCTAACGCAGACAGTGAGAGAGCTAACCACTCAGCCACCATGAGAACCTAACGCAGACAGTGAGAGAGCTAACCACTCAGCCACCATGAGAACCTAACGCAGACAGTGAGAGAGCTAACCACTCAGCCACCATGAGAACCTAACGCAGACAGTGAGAGAGCTAACCACTCAGCCACCATGAGAACCTAACGCAGACAGTGAGAGAGCTAACCACTCAGCCACCATGAGAACCTAACGCAGACAGTGAGAGAGCTAACCACTCAGCCACCATGAGAACCTAAGCAGACAGTGAGAGAGTGAGCTAACCACTCAGCCACCATGAGAACCTAACGCAGACAGTGAGAGAGCTAACCACTCAGCCACCATGAGAACCTAACGCAGACAGTGAGAGAGCTAACCACTCAGCCACCATGAGAACCTAACGCAGACAGTGAGAGAGCTAACCACTCAGCCACCGTGAGAACCTAACGCAGACAGTGAGAGAGCTAACCACTCAGCCACCATGAGAACCTAACGCAGACAGTGAGAGAGCTAACCACTCAGCCACCATGAGAACCTAACGCAGACAGTGAGAGAGCTAACCACTCAGCCACCATGAGAACCTAACGCAGACAGTGAGAGAGCTAACCACTCAGCCACCATGAGAACCTAACGCAGACAGTGAGAGAGCTAACCACTCAGCCACCATGAGAACCTAACGCAGACAGTGAGAGAGCTAACCACTCAGCCACCATGAGAACCTAACGCAGACAGTGAGAGAGCTAACCACTCAGCCACCATGAGAACCTAACGCAGACAGTGAGAGAGCTAACCACTCAGCCACCGTGAGAACCTAACGCAGACAGTGAGAGAGCTAACCACTCAGCCACCATGAGAACCTAACGCAGACAGTGAGAGAGCTAACCACTCAGCCACCATGAGAACCTAACGCAGACAGTGAGAGAGCTAACCACTCAGCCACCATGAGAACCTAACGCAGACAGTGAGAGAGCTAACCACTCAGCCACCATGAGAACCTAACGCAGACAGTGAGAGAGCTAACCACTCAGCCACCATGAGAACCTAACGCAGACAGTGAGAGAGCTAACCACTCAGCCACCATGAGAACCTAACGCAGACAGTGAGAGAGCTAACCACTCAGCCACCATGAGAACCTAACGCAGACAGTGAGAGAGCTAACCACTCAGCCACCGTGAGAACCTAAAATTCTTTTGCCAACGGACACAGGTTGTTACAAAAGCCACACAAAGAGACAAATTCAGTCTAAAAGCAAACATCAAAGTGCATATCCTTTCATGTCGCTCTAAAACAAACCTGTTTATTTCAGACTTGTGACAGAAACGCCACACATCCCCTTTTAAAGCGGCGCGCCCCTAAAAGAGCTCCCCGGCGCGCCGCATGCCACTTTCAATTAGTTCCACAAAGACAGTCCTCGGCTTGCAAAGTGGAAGATGGGAGCTCATTACCAAATTCCTTCGCTATATACTCTCTCCTGGCTTTGAAATATGGATCAGGAAGGCTGCGTCTGTGGGCCGTGCCAGGCTGGACCAGGGCAGTCCAGAGGATTACCCACGTTTCAGGTTCAGCAGCCGCTGCAGCTTAGCCTCCAGAACCATTAGCCTCAGTTCTCTTGTTCACTTTCCTAACACTGTCACATGGAAACAGCAGTAGCACTAATCTGATGAGAGAAAGGAAATGTCTTCGCTATCACAGTCTGTGTCAAAAGGTTCTTATAAAAGTACATTTTTACATTACTCATAGTGCTTTACATTTCAAATCAATTCAAAAACACGCCGTAAAAAACACATACAAAAGACAAGCTAATGTGAATGTTCTGTCTGGCATTTAACTTATATTATAAACATGTATTATGAGCTGAATAAGCAGGAGGAGGACTGTGTAGTCTCTGCTGCCTCCGTGGAAGAAATTAGATGGATTGACAGTTGAGGCATGCATTATTACATGGACAGACTCATTCTGCAACAGTTAGAGATGTTATACTAGCTTCTTTATTATGCTAAAGTTAGAGATGTTATACTAGCTTCTTTATTATGCTAAAGTTAGAGATGTTATACTAGCTTCTTTATTATGCTAAAGTTAGAGATGTTATACTAGCTTCTTTATTATGCTAAAGCTAGAGATTTCAGTAAATTGTTTTTACTGTAGAGGCCCAATTTTAAAGAATGGGATATTTGAGGGAAACTTGTAAATAAAAATCAAATTCCACCCATCCATTTTCTTCCGCTTCGTCCGTTGCCGTGTCGCGGAGGCAGCAGTCTAAGCAGAGACGCCCAGACTTCTCTATCCACACACACTTCCTCTTCTGGGAGAATAATGCTCCAGTTTTCTTTTTTTGACTATTTTGAATTAGAATATTGTTACTGTTGAAAGGAAAGACCACACAATGTCAAATATGAATACAATATAATCCAACCTTTAAGTTTAAAACTTGGTGGACTTGCATTAGCACTTAGCATTAACATCTTATTTAAACTTTGATCAGCCTATTTTATAACTTTTGCAGTGATTCTTGTATTTCTCAACTTGTTTTAGACACAGAAAAACACAGATTGTTTTCTTATGCAACAGCACACATCAAGAAACAAAGACATCTGAGTTTTAGTTTGGGAGAAAATCCTTTTCTCTGAGCAAATTCAACAAATCATTGTCAATTTTGCTCGATTATGAGAGAGAATCATGACTGCAGTTCTCCCAAAGTCTCATGTAGAAAAGTATTTGTGACTAAAACATTGAGCTTGGACTAATTCGTTCTCGCTCGTGGTGAGGACAGAGTGTGCACAAGCAGCAGAGCGTTGACTTTTTCTTTTTACTGATAATCTCATTAAGCACATCCAGGCCTCGGCGGCGGCGGCGGCGGCGGCGGCGGCGGCGGCACAAAGGAACACGGTGTGGAGCAGTGGGCGTTACAGACCAACTGTATATGTTTATAATGCATTCACTAGACTAAACTAATTTAATGTGAATATCAGCTGCTTTTGTGGTGCTATTAATTCATTCACTCATTTTGGCTAGGTCTTGGTTTTTCAGCAGGGGCTTCAGACAAAGTGGAGTTCAGTGTCTTGCCCAGGGACACAACGACAGGTGACGTGGGTCATGGGGGAGAACAAACCCACGACTAATAGCTTCAAAGACCAATGATTTACCAACAGAGCCACTTTCGCCCATTTTCCTGATGCCACCATGTCCTCTGAAGCTGAGCAGGGCAGGGCCTGGTCAGGGCTGTGATGGGAGACTTCTGGAAACATCCGGTGCCAACTGTTATCGTGTCCTTCGTAGGTTTCCTCCGGGTACTCCGGTTTCCCCTACCACTAAAAACATGTCCAATAGTTCTGGCATGTGCCTCCTGTACTGGCCCCGCTCCCATCTCTGTGTGGAGTGAGAGACAAGTGCCCAAAAATAATAACAATTGTAAACCGCTTTGAGACTCAGATCTGTGAAAGGCGGTATATAAATAAACATTACTTACTTACTTACCTTAGCCAAGACACATCACCCACATGGCCTAGTGTGCCTGGTGTGTAACTATTCTCAGCTTAGTCCTATGGCTTGACCCCAGAAGCCAAATGCAGCAACAATAGTCCGTACAGGGAGGACCCGATCAATGGTCAGCTCGTCACAAAGCTGACATCTCACATCCAACTGCCGTCTGAAATCAACAATCTGAAGCACCGACGAGATGAAAAGAAGGCAATCCCAGAATTGTCAAAGTAAGCAGTACTGCAGGGCTGCTCTGTGCACCTTTTTAGTAAACTTTTAACAACTTTTTAGCGCGTTTTTATTGTTCAGTTTTTTAATATATCTGAGTGTTTTATGTTATTAATTCAGTGGTTTCAGCAAATAGCGCTTAGTCCCGACTGAAACCCACTAGTAGCACAGAAGCTAACACAAGCTAACGAGGACATGGAAAGTGACAATGAAATTGGCTCAAACATGCACAATATTAGTCGCCTCACCTTGGAGCTCCGTGAGAGCGACCGTGCCACCATTGCAGAACTACGAAAAGAAGTCCTTCGTCTCACCGCAGAGTTGAATGAGAAACAATCTCTAGTATCCAAACTTTTTGAAGTCGCTGGTGGGCAGCATTCACGGCTGATGTCACTGAGCGCTGCATATTGTGACACTGTCGTGTGGGAGAGATCCGTCAGCTCCGGACCCTCCTGTTCTACACCTAAGCGCCCGCTTCCGAATAACGAGCCCGCGGATTCCGAGGAGCCATCCTGCGCCGTGGCCCATGTCCTGAGTCTGGCAAACCGCTATGCAGCCCTCTCCACCGACATCCCGGCCCCCTCAGCAGAATCCCTGGACACTGCAGCGTACTCTACTGCTCGAGGATCCAAGTCCACTGCGAGGAAAACGCTCCTAAAGGAAGCAGTCCTCAGGCGAAAGAGCGGTCCACCAGCCATGTTGGCCTGTTCCCCTTCTTTGACCCCAGTGCAGCAGCCTCAGACTGGGGTAGCTAGCCATCATCACCACCGCTCACCTCCACCGGGTCAGCAGCAGCGCCCAGAGCCAGCCCCTCTCACCGCTCCAGCGTCCCCGAGCACACAGCGTGGGTCGCCTGTAGCTGAGAGTCAGCACCCCCGCTCCTCCTCTCCATGTGTTCAGCGGCGCTCAGGCTCGGGTCCTGCTTCGGGTGAACCCGCTGGTTCCGTCCTCCGAGCTCCTTCTCCGAGGCCACTCTTCGCCCCGACCACTCTGATTATTGGAGATTCCATCGTGAGACACGTCCGCTTCTTTAACGCGGTCACTCGCTGTATTCCCGGAGCTACTGTACCAGACCTGCTCATACGTCTCCCTCCTCTGCTTCAGTCCCTGCCTGATACCGTTTCCAAGGTAGTCGTGCATGTGGGAATTAACGACATGAAACTTCAGCAGTCAGAAGTCACGAAGAAACATTTTATGGATCTGTTCCACCTCCTTCAATCCTCCGGACTATCTGTTTTTATTTCTGGTCCAATCCCGACTGTAAACAGAGGTGACTGCCTCTACAGTCGTGTTGTGGCGCTGCATATGTGGCTCCAGGCTACATGCAGCTCTTTTAACTTTGTCTTTGTGAATAACTTTGCCCTTTTCTGGAAACGTTACGAAGCCTATCGTCCAGACGGATTACACCCAAACAGATACGGTAGCAGCCTGTTGATGGACTATGTAACCCAGGTAAAAAACCATATATATATTTATATATATATATTTGTGTAATGTGTAAGCATAAAATAAGTTAAATATATTTTTCACTGCGCGCTGCGTGCATAATATACGTCATCACGTCTATCAGTCACATGACCGTCAGTAGCCATATTGACAGACTGTGTGGTTGCCGGTAGAAGCGGGTTGGGAAAGAAGCTGCAGGTATGTTGCTGCTGTCATTGCTGTCTTTCTGAATGCTTTTGAATTAATGCAGCTGCTATAATACTTGTAGGAGCCTCTGTTGATCCGTCGGCTGTGAGGGAAGCGTGTGTGTGCGTTTCACATTGGAGAACTGGTGAGTGACGCGGAGCGCTAGCTTAGCCGTTAGCCTAGCCCGTTTTCCCATTCGGTTACATTGGACATGCTACGCTAAGCTAACCAATGCATTTCAATGACTCGGATTAGCATTTAGTTAATGCCGGGTTTTCCAAATGTATGTGCTTTTATATGGTGCTTTTTGTATGTTTTATAACGGTATGCATTTAGTAGGCACTGATACTTAGATACTTTAAATGCACTTTGAAGTATGATTGTTTTACAATGTTTTGTATACATATGTAGAAGTATACTGTAGTGCCATGGTTCATTGGTCACTATTGATATTGATGATTAATATATACTATTTAACATTTTTGATGCACTTAGTACTAGTGTTATTTGACTGAGTTTGATTATTGTACAATGAGATGCATTCACTGTTTTATTTAGTGCATATTGCATTATGTATTATGAATAGTGTTTGTAATGGTTAGATTTCGATTATGTGCACATAGACTTTTAATTGAACCTTGGCTCTATTACTTAGGCCAGGAGGTTCCGGATGGCGAGCTTAGTCCCGAACCAGAGTTGAGCTCCAAGAGAGGAACTCAGTCCAGTCAGACAACTGCATCCTCCTGCTCCGGTCGGGTAGGAGGCTCCTGTAGCCGCCCTTTTTCCCTTTTGATTTGTCCTCGTGTTCAAAGTGAGGGGCTCATTTCATATTGACTCACATTCACCCGTTAAAACTCACCCTTTGGAATATCTGAGCCCAACCAAACAACCACTCACTGAACGAGCACTTGGATTATATTTTGTTTTGTGCGCTTCGCGTACTCTGACATTTGTGCAACCGTTGAAGTAGACAATTCCGGAAGCCAAACAGAACTCATTGTCTATATATGTAAATTTCTTGTATGTCATTGTTTGTTGTTTGTCATAGTCTCTTTAAATTCAATACATGTGGGGGTGCCATCTGCAAAATTCAAGTGTTTCATTGTGTCTCTCTCCACTCTTAGAGCCGAACTGGGACTTCTGATTTTTAGCCCAGAACTTGATAGTGTGTGTGTCAAATTATTACCTGACCTGTAATAGTTTAGCGTAGCCACATGCTACATAATTCTTGGCGAGCTAGCCAGGAGTGGATTAACGTGAGACAAACATTTTTTTTTGAAGGTTGTATTGTATTTGGAAGATATGGAAACATTTGAGAAACTTGGCATTAAAATTGCAAACTCAATCTTAGTCCAAGACGCGACTAAAACGGCTACCGATGATGAAGTTGTGGAATTTCTGAAGCGGTTTGGGTCTATCCGTAAGTGTGAGTGCATTGATGACTCTGAATCCCTGTTTCACCATTCTATTGTGGTTGAATACAGTTCAGAACAACCGCTCGTTGCTCTGCGCAAAATGTTGCCTTATACATATGATTGCGTGGACGATGAAGTTAGTTATAAGCTACTTGACTTGTCTCTCCTTCTCGCTGATGAAGTGGGAAAGATGCAAACTCTGATGTATTTGAACCAACTTGAGACTGTAGCGAAACAAACTGGTCAAGATTTTGCTGTTGTACTTAGTGGTATGATGCCTCTGCTTGGTCAGACTGTCAGCAGGCTCCACAGTACGACAGACGAAGATGGGAGTACTGAGGACAACAAGGATGGATTACCACCAATCCCAGCCAATGTCCAACCACCAGCTGCTGACGCGGATCCACCTATTGCTCCTGCTGGTGGCGCCAGAAACTTCCCTGGAAGCCAGGCCGAGGCCACTTTCCCGAATACACCCCGCCGTTCGCTACCAGCGATGTCTCAACAGGAATTGAATCCACCGCAAATTCAGCGCTATGTAGTTGAGCACATAGTGAAGAATGAGGACGGTATGGGACAGTATTCCAACCATCGCATCCGGGCCTTTTCTGGACGGCTGCCCCGACCGCAGAATGAATCCGACTATGATACATGGCGTTCCGGCATCGATCTCGTATTGAAAGACCCTGCAGTGTCTGACCTGCAGCGTTCACGGAAAATATTTGAAAGTTTACTGCCGCCCGCCGCTGATGTGGTGAAGCATTTACAGCCAGATACATCACCTTTTATCTATTTACAGACTCTTGATTCTGCATACGGCACTGTCCAGGACGGGGAGGAGCTGTATGCCAAATTCCTGGACACCTTTCAAGATGCTGGCGAGAAAGCGTCTGCATATCTGCAACGTCTGCAGATTGCTTTGAACATGGCTGTCAAGCGTGGGGGAGCAGTAATCAAAGACAATGAAAGACATTTGTTGGCCCAATTCTGCCGTGGCTGTTGGGACAATGCCCTCATTACCGAACTACAGTTGAAACAACGAAAAGATAATCCCCCAATCTTTGCGGATTTTCTGCTGTTACTGCGAACCGAGGAGGACCGTGAAGCAGCTAAAGCCATTCGAATGAAGCAGCATCTTGGATCAACCAGACCCAGAGTTTCTGCCCATGCTCAATATGCATATACAAACACTACAGAGAGAGGGGAGATAGCCGCCCTTACCAGCGTCACCCAGCAACTGGCACAGCAGCTAGCCGACATCCAGAAGCAGCTTGCGTTACTTACTGCCGGCCAATCAAGCACAAGCCAAAATACTGCTTCCAAGCGCACCTATGACCATAAGGTGGAAGGTCAGAGGGCAGGCAAGTACTCAAAGAACCTGCCTTCTGCACCCAAGCCCGGCTACTGCTACAGGTGTGGTGAGGACGGGCACATCAAGCCCAACTGCGACAATCCCCCTAACTCTGCTCTGGTGGCTGCCAAGAAGAAACAGTTTGCAGAAAGACAATCCAAGTGGCAGACCCCCAATACCCAGCCTTTAAACTAGATGCAGTTCTGGTTGAGGGGCAAACCGGAACTGTTGAGGACCAACAACGTCCCAACTGCAAGCAGAAACCCGTTGTGACATGTGAAGTTAATCAGATCCCAAAGAACGTCCCGTCACGGTTACCAAAAGGTCTAATTGGTTCCCGTTGCACAGCCACCCTTAAAGTCTCCAATCACGAATGTAATTGCCTCCTCGATACAGGGTCGCAGGTTACAACCATTCCAGTTTCATTTTACAACAGCTATTTCGCAGATCAGCCGCTAAAGCCATTGTGTGACCTATTGCATATTGAGGGTGCTGCAGGACAAGCTGTCCCCTACTTGGGGTATGTGGAGATGATGGTCACGTTTCCAAGAGAGTTCCTGGGGGCTGATTTTGATGTGTCGACTCTGGCACTCGTTGTCCCGGATGTTCGTTTAGATACCCCGTCCCCAGTGTTAATTGGCATGAACACATTGGAGCCACTGTACAGCAAGTACATGGGGAGTGAGTGTGCAGATTTCCAACCTGAGGCCCATGGGTTCAAAGCAGTTCTTAAACTCCTGCAAATACGCCACCAGCAACAGGTGGGCACCAGTGGAGTAATAAGGTTGGCCAGCAAGTCCCCCATTCTCATCCCTGCTGGACACACCACCATCGTTGATGGTTCCATAAACATTGGCATGCCAAATCGAGGTCAGTGGGCGCTAGTGGAGCATCCAGCCTCACAACTGCCAGGTGGGCTGTGTGTTAAGAACTCCCTTGTTATGCTCCCAAGCCAATCCCACAAGAATTTTTTGCACCTTTGCACCTGTGGATACTGAAACTGTCAAAAAGATAATCATGAGTCTGAGCTCCTCCACATGTAGCCTGGATGTATTGCCCTCTAAATTTCTGAAGTCCGTCCTGAGCAGTTTGTTACCTTCACTGACACAAATAGTAAACATGTCTCTGTCGTCAGGAACATTTCCTATAGCCCTAAAAACAGCAGTCATAAGACCTCTCCTAAAAAAGAGCAGTCTGGATCCTGCGGGACTTCAAAATTATCGCCCCATATCGAATCTGCCATTCATTGGAAAAATTCTTGAAAAAGTGGCCTCCCAACAACTTACTGAATTTTTAACAATGAATAATTCTTTTGATATGTTCCAGTCTGGGTTTAGACCCCACCACAGCACTGAGACCGCTCTAGTGAAGGTAACAAACGACATTCGACTTCACACTGATGCAGGTAAAGTCACAGTTTTGGTCATGTTAGATCTTAGTGCCGCGTTCGACACTGTCGACCATGAGATCCTCATGCAGAGACTGGAGGACTGGGTTGGTGTCACTGGCACAGCCCTAGACTGGTTTAGGTCTTACCTGGAGGATAGGAAGTACTCTGTGGAGATTGGAGACTGCGTCTCAGATGATGTGGCCCTGACCTGTGGAGTACCACAGGGGTCGATTCTGGGACCTCTCCTATTTAATCTCTACATGCTGCCGTTAGGTCAGTTAATACAAAGAAACAAAGTGTCCTACCACAATTACGCCGACGACACTCAGATCTATGTCTCACTGACTGCAGGAGAACATGGACCACTGGATTTGCTCCTTCACTGTATCCAACAGATCAGTGACTGGATGCAAAATAATTTCCTCCAGCTAAATACAGACAAAACCGAAATCATTGTCTTTGGTCCCCAGAAACAAAGAGAGGGCGTCATTTGTCAACTTCAGTCTCTCTCCCTACTTCCTTCAGACAAGGTCAGAAATTTGGGGGTAATACTGGACTCAGACCTAAATTTCAATAGCCACATAAAATCAATAACATCAACAGCTTTTTACCATCTGAAGAACATTGCCAAAGTTAGAAATATAGTGTCCAGGGCAGACTTGGAGATTCTTGTCCATGCATTTGTCTCCAGCAGGCTAGACTACTGCAATGGCCTGCTCACAGGTCTGTCCAAACAGACCTGTAAGCAGCTGCAGTACATCCAAAATGCAGCAGCTAGAGTCCTGACAGGAACCAGGAAGTATGACCATATTAGTCCAGTCCTCAGGTCTCTGCACTGGCTTCCTGTGGCTCAAAGAATAGATTTTAAAACGGCTCTGCTTGTGTACAAGTCTCTCCATGGCCTTGCACCAGAATACATTAGTGACATGTTGGTGTCATATGAACCGGCCCGGACTCTGAGGAGCACAGGGACTGGCCTCCTGCTGGGACTCTGAGGAGCACGGGGACTGGCCTCCTGCTGGTGCCCAGAGTGAGAACCAAACATGGGGAGGCTGCGTTTCAGATCCATGCAGCTAAGATCTGGAACAATCTCCCTGAAAATGTGAGGGAGGCGTCTACTCTGTCAATGTTCAAATCCAGGTTAAAGACTGTTCTGTTTGCCTGTGCATACAACTGAAGGATTTTATCTCCATTTCTAATGCACTGCTGTCATTTTTTTTTTTTTTTTTTTTTTAATTTCTTGTGTAATTTTGAAAGTTTTAATGGTTTTATTCTTTTGTGTGATTTTAATGTTTTAATTGTGTTTTAATCTTTTGTGTGATTTTAATGTTTTAATTGTGATTCTGGTGTTTGTTTTATGTGATGATTTGTGATGTGGACTGTGAAGCGCTTTGTGTTGCCCTGTGTATGAAAGGCGCTCTACAAATAAACTTTGATTGATTGATTGAATTGAACCATTTTGGATTTCATTAACGTATCACAGGGGACAATCCTGAGACGTTAGGATTGTCCCCTTTTGACTTACACAAATACACATGGCTCTCACCTGTGTGTTTTTCAGGCAATAATGTTGTATTTTAACCCCTTCATGGTTCTTTTTGATGTAGTTTTGTACTTCTGACGCTTTTGCTTGGTTTTGTCTGTTTTTGGAATTGTATTTCCTGGAAATGTAAGGAGCAATATAAAAAACATGTATTATTATTATTATTATTATCTGTTTCTATTCTATGCTCAGAGGGACACGTAAGAGAGAGCACATTACCCCTGTGCTGGTCAGACTTCGCTGGCTCCCTGTCACATTCAGGGTTGATATTAAGATTCTGATGTTTGTTTTTTAAATGTTTTAAGGCTTTATCTGTTGTATATCTGACAGAACCACTATCTTTGTCTGCTCCGGTTTGATCAGTGAGGTCTGAAAACACAAGGAGACCGGGCCTTTGGAATAGTGACCTCTGCACATTAGAGCAGCACCTTCATTGGAGACTTTTAAATTCGAGTTCTATTTTTTTCCCCCACTAGGAATATGTGTTTTTGTGTGTTTCTTTCTTGTATGTGAAGCACTTTGGGCCAATGATGTTACTGTAAATCCATTATTCAAATAACGCTGAAATGATCATTTCCATTCTATACTTCAAATCCACATTAATATAGTTGTATGTTGACATTTGATTGCATACATTTAGGTTATGAAGCATGCAATTCCAGCCAACAATTTTGAGGTCCCTCTCACTATGGCAACAGTCCTCATGTTTCACCATTTTGAAATCCATGAATTGAGAGATTGATCCATATAAAGAGGGTTCATTTTGTCCTCACATCTCCAGCTCTTCCATAAAACCTTTGATTACAACATTACAATACAAAGTGTGATTCTGCAACAACCAGCCCTGCCATGTTTACTCTTCCATTACCTCAGTCCTCAGCGGCGCACCAGCAGATACCCCTAATAACCAACATTAATTACAAATTATCGGCTAAAACGGGGGAACAACCATCGGGGATCACACAGGAGAAATAACATGTCACTGCAGAGAACAAAAGAAGTCTTCGGTATTGATAGGAGAATTATCAGCTCTTTGGGGATCACTCACGGCTTACAGGGGCAACTCGATAGGGGTCTATGGAGGTCCTGTTGCTAGGCCACCGATAGGGGTCTATGGAGGTCCTGTTGCTAGGCCACTGATAGGGGTCTATGGAGGTCCTGTTGCTAGGCCACTGATAGGGGTCTATGGAGGTCCTGTTGCTAGGCCACCGATAGGGGTCTATGGAGGTCC